CCCCCCCCCCTGCCCCAAAAAAACGCGACGGGGCGGGCGGACCTTAGCCTCGTTGATCTCCTTCTCGATGTCCTTGATCGAGGTCGTGTACGGTCCCAGGCCGTAGGTTTTGAGGAGGGCGATGTCTCCCTCATCCAGGGCGGCCGGCGGCGCGTCGTCGTCCTCCCCGTCGTAATCCTTCTTGTTGGAAGTCTGGCATGCCCCGGCGTCCCCCATTGTTTACGCTCCCTTCCGAAAGGTTAGCTCGCTTGTTGGTGTCGTGGTAACAACACAGACTTATTTGTCGTTTCCCGGTGGCTCGGAGCGGAGCAGTGGCTGCCTTTCTTCTTCGGGTGTCGTACGATCCTGCAGCTTTGTGTCTGCTCGAGAGTAGATGTGTGCAGAAGGCAGAGAGCCGGCGGCGGGCAGCAAATCAGCAAAAAACAGCTGCTGGTCTGTGTACCAGGGAGTCGTCGTAGCATGCTCTCAACAAGTCAAGGGGCAAACACACGCTCTTTCTTGACGTATCCTCACAAGTTATTCATAGCGGAGAGGGTTTTTGAACTGCACTCAGCACTGTAGCACTCGCAACTTCTCTCTTTGAATCCCCTCCCACGTTGCTCGGTACCGCTCTGCAGGCGCCTGCTGCAACGCGCCGCCGTTGCTTTGTGCACTCTCTCTCTCGACTCTTGGCGGAAAGATGCCACCACACACAAGACACCAGGCTGTTGTGTGCCAAAGGTACACTCACGCCCAAACAGAGCCGTGGGTCCAGTCATCGCAACGAAGCTAATACGAGCTGCGCAAATGCACCCTATGAGCACGCCCTGCAGCAAGAGGTACATAGCCAGAGTGCCTCGAACCGATATGGTCGATCTCACAGCTAATAGCCGCCCTCTCCGACGATTTCCAACGAAGTCGATCTCCTGATCGTTGCCCTCCTCTCCATGTTTCCCCGTATTGACTCTCCGTAACCTTGGCAAAACCGACACGGAAACTGATCAACACGGCTTACCTCCTTTGCACACGAACCCGCTGTACCGGCTCGGAAGTGTGCACTGCCTGGCTTACGTGTTGTGTTAGCCGCGTTGCAGCTTGGCCGACGCCTGGGGGCCCCGCACATATAGTTTTCAGTTCGTGCATACTCGGGGTCGCCATCTGCATTACCCCCTCTCTCCACCCTCCACTTCCGACAAGTCCGAGCAAGCCCACGGCGCTGCTTTGAATCACAACATCTCGTAGGGCCGGCGTGTTCTCGGATCTAGGAAGCCGGCCGTTCCCCCTAATAATCGATAAAGGCCTGCAGGAGAAAAAGCTGCCGGCTTCACACGCGGCAAGTGGTTCGAAACCCGCGTACGAAGCTGCCGCTGCTGTAGGGGAGCACGAACACTAGCACAGGCAGGCGACATCATGGCTAACGTTGACGAGGAGATAAAGGCACTCCAGAAGGAGCGGGAGAGCGGGATCGTGGCAGCGGCGGACGGCGAGGATGACGGCGGGGACGGGGGGGAGGGGGATGGCGCCGACGGTCAGGTGGCGCTTACGGGGGCGGGCGCCTACGATCGAGACATCTACGGCGGCGGCGGCGACAAGTTTGCCGGGTGAGCACAGCAGTGGGGGGAAGGATCGATCGGAGAGGGGTCGCACGGATTTTGCAGGGTGACCCGAAACCATCCGTTTTCCAAAAGCTTTGCTACGGGCGCTTAGGAGGGCGAGTGCCACACGGGATAGATAGATGCACGCAGTGTTGCAAAGTCTCTATAAAGATTTTATTTTTTTTGTGCTCCGCTGCTGGCCAGTTCTTGACTTAAACCAGTCACCACTGCCGCCGCCAGCGCGTGAGGCGCCCCTTCCCATGTTCGTGGAAATAATTATCTCCGAGTTCCTGCCTGTAGGTTTGCCCCGGGCGTCTTTTGTTTCAGCTTTGTGTGGTTCTTTTACAGTCGTCCATATTTCTCAAAACCTACTACAACTGCTGTGCCTGGTGGATAGTGCAAGGCTTGTAAGGCTTCGGGAGCCGGTAAACGCGACCCGGGGGGCTCGTTTAAAAAACGCGACCCGGGGATAAAAACTCCTCATTTTCTGGAATATGACAGGAGGCATGTTTCATGTTAGGCATGTTAGGCACGCAGCGCGCTGTCCCGACAGACACGCCGAGTTCTGCGCCGACGTAGAGCAACCGTCGCCACAAGCAGCAGTATCATAAGTACATCGCTCCGGGGAGTGACGACCGAACTTTCAGCATTCAAGGACCGGTATCCGCCTCGAATCAAATCGCTTCAGTGTGTGTGCTGCAGCAGCGGCGTTATTGTAGAGAACATAGAGAAGAAAGCTGCGGCGGTGCCAACCACCAGCAGTCGATGCCTACAAGTTATGACTACAAGTAGAGTTCCCTGAAAACGTGCCACGTCTTGACTGTATTCTTCTTTGCTCGTTGTATGTGGGGTAGCGTTTCAGTATTGAAATGAAGGTGACACTGCTGTTTGTGGGTGGGTGGCCGTGTGCCCGTGTCTGTGCAAAGTAAGTGTCAATGTATTTGTCGCGCTCTTACCATTTTATTGAGTGGCGATTACCTACAATCCCGAGATCATGTCCGCACATACCCTGACTGCCGTGCATACACACGTATGTATGTTATTTGTCGCGGAGTTCGAAGTGCGTGCGTACAGCAGTGCCCCATGCGCAAGACAAGCACCCTCAACATAGACGTCACAGCCCGNTGAAGCGATTTGATTCGAGGCGGATACCGGTCCTTGAATGCTGAAAGTTCGGTCGTCACTCCCCGGAGCGATGTACTTATGATACTGCTGCTTGTGGCGACGGTTGCTCTACGTCGGCGCAGAACTCGGCGTGTCTGTCGGGACAGCGCGCTGCGTGCCTAACATGCCTAACATGAAACATGCCTCCTGTCATATTCCAGAAAATGAGGGTTTTTTATCCCCGGGTCGCGTTTTTTAAACGAGACCCCCGGGTCGCGTTTACCGGCTCCCGTAGGGCTTCGGCTTCCAAGCACCGCTGAAATCACGGGCCCCCCCCCTCATCGACAGCACCTTTCTTTCTCTTTCCGGCGCCTGCTGACGGCTTGTGATAGTGATGGTTTACCGCGAATCTGTTGAACGATATGTCGCTGTCTTATTGATTACTTAGAAGTATATTCGGCGAGGAACAGTGTACCTAGATACAGAAGGAAATGTGCACGACAGCGTTCTGCTACAAAAAGCCCCGCCGTCACCAGACACCCCCAGCTGATTGTGTACAACACCACCTCTCTTTTGATGCTCCTCTGTACATGAACTTATTTCACCCCCGCTGCCAGCAAACCGACATGGGTTAACAAAGGCTGGAGCAACAAGTATACAAACCAACAACATAACGACAGCAACCGAATCCAAGTTCTTGGGCGGCACCCTACGTGTATCCCCCTCCCGCCCCCCATACCCGCACTCCACCACCTGCTGAAACCATGGCTACACCCTCCCCCGCGCGCTCTTTCCAACAACAACCCACAACAACAGAGTCTACCAAACGGTGGTAGACGAAGGAGAACCCGAACGAAGCACGTGACCTCCCCCCCCCCTCCACCCCCCATGTTCTGAAAATTGAGAACATCCTCTCCCCTGTTGCCTGCTCCAACGACAACAACAGAGTCTCCCGAACAGTCGTGGAGGAAGAAGAGCCCGAGGACGAGGACGAGGTCGTCACGAGCCACCGCGGCGGCGGCGGCGCCTCGCACCCAGCCTCCCGTGCCAGCGTCAACGCTCCCCGGCACCTGCTCGACGGCGGCGAGGAGAGGGAGGGTGGCGACGACGACAACAGCACCATCGCGGGCATGCGGGCCGGGGGGTCCGGGATGGTGAACACGGTCATCGCGGAGCGAGAGTCGGCGTACCAGGCGAAGGGTCGCCGGAACCAGATGGTGCGCTTGTGGGGTGGTCGGGTTGAGGTCTTGGGGGAGAAGGCGTGGAGGGGGAGTGTGATCATGCAAACGCATGTCGTAGTCGTTCCAGTATTAGACCATTGACCTCGCATCCCTGCTTTGCCGGGACGGAGCGATATGCGGGGTGTTCGCCGGCCCAGGCTTCTACGAGGACGTGAAAGGGGTGGGGGTGGGTGGGATGGTAATGGGTTGGGGTCAGTGGGGTTGCTGTGCCTGCAAACAGGCGATTGGCCGAGTGTGGACACCTATCGTGGCCTTGCGAGTGGTTTCGACTCGCTCTTGTGGGACCGGCTGATGTCGTTCCTCCACGCTATGTACGGATGCCTGACTTATAGAAGTACGCATTACCTCTCGCTCGTGAGAAAGTCGTGTTTCGAGGTACGTCTACAGCAGCACTCTCTGAAATCGAACAGCGAAAAGCGGAAAATGGCGATCTAAGCCACTCCCGGTTGATTCCTCTGCGCTTGCCGCATTCTCTGCCACGGCGCGGTAGTGGGTGTCATAAGCTGCGGTAAAACCTTTCTGCTCATGCCGTGGTCTTTCCCCGACGTCCAGGCTCGTCTTCTTTTTCTTATATGCTCGTGTCTCTCGCGCCTACGCTGTCATCGTTTCGGCCGTTCGACGTGAATGCCGTCCCGCGATGGTTGTTAAATAGATTTCTCCCATCCGAGGCGGAGACGCGTTTGCCGGGCAGACGCCGACGCGAAGCTTTAGGGATATTATGGCGGAGCAGGCCCTCGCCAAGGAGAAGGATGTGGTAAGTCCCCTTGGTTTGCTGGCTTGAGTGCGAGCATGCATGAGTTTGGTGGGTGGCTTCTGCCTGAAGTCGCAAATCTTTTTCTTTTGCCGATATTTATTTTACTTGTTTTGTTCATTTTGTAAGGAGCATATGCGCAAGTGCTTTGTGTACAGAGAAAAACAAATGCGATGGATACAGTGTAACTTTCTGTTGGCTTCAATGCCATTGTATTGCTTGGTTTGTCGAGTTCCGCTCACATTTTTTAGTTGGACCACCTGGCGGGGTGTTCACCCCAGGGCAAGCGCGTCGTACTTCCCGCATCCATTCTTATCGTTCTACGTAAGCCTCACCCGTTGTCCAAATGCACCTTCCCCAATCTCCACACACGCCGCTTACACGCACACACACCCATAACTGCTAAGGAACGATTGGCTATCGGTGATCGTTCCTGTGGGAACAATGCTCCGTCCTCTGGAGGACGCGTGGTTGATGGTCTCACCGCTAAGGCATGCATAACATATGAGTACGCCCCCCGCCCCCCTGTCACGAACGCCACAGATCATGCGGAAGGCTGCCAAGCAGGCGGAAGAGGCGGCCAGCCTCAAGCGGTCGGTGCCATCCTCTTCCGCCGGAGGCGCCGCCGGCGCCGCCGGAGTGTACGGCCCGGGCGCCGGGGCCGCGGCGGCAGCGGCGGCGGCATCGACAACGCCTCGCGTCGGCGGCGGCGCGGGCTCCGTCCGCAAGAAGCGGCGGTGGGACGACGGGGGGACCCCGGTCGCCGGTGGCGTCGCGGACGGGGACGAGACCCCTGCGGTCGGCAAGATCGTGTCCGACTGGGACGCGGACGTGGCGACGCCGGTGCGAAGCAGCCGCGGCTTCGGGGGCGGGGAGACTCCAGGGAGGACGCCTGGGGGCGGCGGAGAGACCCCCGGTCGCAGCCGGTGGGATCAGACCCCTAGCCGCGATGCCCAGGAGACCCCCGTCACCAGGCGTTCCAGCAGGTGGGACCAGAGTGGGGGCGGGGGCGTGACGCCCATGGCGGGAGGCATCACCCCCGGCGGGGTTGGGGACACTCCCAAGGCCGGGTCGAAGTGGGACGACGAGACTCCGAGGGCGGGGGGCGGGTTCGGGGCAGGGGAGACGCCCTCGGGGCGTAAGAAGTCTCGGTGGGATCAGGTGGGCAGTGGGCGTTTGTATGTTGCGTTAAATGCACATGCCGCCCTTAGTAAACCCTAACCCTATGCATAGCCTTAAGAAGTACACAAGTTTCCGCCACGTTTTTTTGTTTGTTTTGTTGTGGTCGTGGGCGAAGTGTGCTCCGGGGTGAAGGTAGTGTCGTTGTCTCCTTTCGTCATTCGTGACGGCGAGGCTTGTGTTGTTGGGGTTCCTTCCCTC